CTTGAGCAATGGCGATGTCGAATGGTGCACACTCGGTAAGTAATCCTACAATTTTTTGTTTATAGCGTAGTTTATACGGATTATTTCCAAAAAAAAATATATGTATTTTGGAAATGTTGAGTAGAATTAGTCTAGAATCGATTAATTTTATGGAAGAAAGCCTTTCAAACAGCAAAATCCGTAAACTTGACGTGTGTCGGGCTGTGATTGGAAGGACTCATAAGAAATCAGATTCCTAAAGAATGGAATGTATCTATGATCTTATGGGGGGGTCGACTGTATTTTTTAAAAATTAAAATAAGTGTAATCTAGGTATGCTATTCTGTCACAGTTGATTGAATCATGTGTTGAGAGTTTGAGAGGAATAAATTAAATGTTGAAAATGACATGAGGTTGGCATTAAAAAAACTTACTCGCGAATTTTAAGGCTGTTTAATAACATATAATTTCAACAGTCACATTAAATTATTAAACATAATTTAAAATAAAATTATACTAAAAAACTAATTTCGTTGTTTTTTTATTACCTTATTAAAAATGTCTTTTTCAATAGTATCGGGGTCGTGGGTCTCTTGGCTTTTATAAAAAAGGGTCGCCACCCGAAAAAGGTTGGGAACCATTGTTTTATGTATTTGCGAGACTGTTGGGTAGGCACTCGTTAAGTTTTGCATCTGTTTTTCTTTTCAAAAGGTGAGAGTATAATAGCAAAGGTAGAGAGTGGGCAGAAGATGCCTAATGTTGCTGGGCAGTATGGCGTGAACAGGTCTACAGTAGGCCACAGTTCAATCTTATTTAAGAAAAATACTGTATAATCAAGAAGACTCAAGCAGCTAAAGGAGTAACACATCTGAGAAATAAAGAATGTTGAAGAGTTCGTAATGGAACCTGAAACGGATCTGACGACAGAAGAATGCCAAGAAACTCGGTGAGATATGTTTTCTTCTGAAAAAGAGGATTAATGTCGATATCTGTTATTAAAGATCCTTTGAAGAAGTGGGAAGATGTAAGAACAACGGTCTTAGAAGGGCATCCAAAGCAGGTTGAGGCTTGGGGATTTCTACAATTGCAATGCTATTAATTACTTACGAAAAATTCTGAAGAAGAGAGAAAAGCAATCAACATTAGACAGATTCTTTAACCCTTTCAAATGGAAAAAACATGACTAATAAAAATGCAAGACTGTGTATGTATGTATGTATTTTTATTATTACATATAAATAAATGTAGTAAGAAAGTATATATATTTTTATTTTTGGGTGTCTCCAGAACAAATTAATTAAATTCCCATTAAAACCTATGGTAAATCGATAATTGGTTAATGAATAATTCAGATAGTGAACAAAGTCTTGGAACAGATTATGTTCGTTAACCGATCACCCACAGTATAGTACATTAAGTTTAACGATTCAATCTATTTTAAAGATGGTTTTCCATGTTGATTATAATTTTCTTTTGAAAACATATTACAGAATTGAAGCAAATCTAATTGAGGAATCATAATTATAAGTTTATCACAGCATATACAGGTTAATGTCACATTAAAAATGTACTTTTGTTTTGCCAATCTGCAAATAGTGAGGTTAAGCCAAAGTTTTCAACGTGAAAACATGAACGTCGGATGTTCAGCACCGCCTTCCTGTAAGCCTAGAAGTTTGACAATTGTGTTTAGAACATCTAGCATGATTCCACTAACATTCCAAATGCCATGGTCAAATATCTAGGCTTACAGGAAGGTGGAGCTGAACATCCAATGTTCACATTTTTGCATTGAAAACTTCAGCCGCAACCTCGCTAATATTTTAATTGTTATAGTCATCCCAATAAAAATTAGTTGTGAAGTTATATTGGTTTTCATTAACCAATAGCATATATACCAGAAAATTATTTTATTGGTGCCTATTGGTTTAAATAATTTATTCCCCTAGAATACTAATAGAAAATTCTATTGGTTTTAAATATTGCTCTAGAATACCAATAGAAATTTTTATTGGTTTTTTTTTTTTAACAGGAATTAGCTATTGTGACTGTAATCTATTAACAGGACTTATTACACTGATTTAATGGATGAAATTAGAGAGATTGAATTAGT